TCTCTCTCTCTCTCTCTCTCTCTCTCTCTCTCTCTCTCTCTCTCTCTCTCTCTCTCTCTCTTAAATACCTCCAAACACGTCTTCCCCCACGCCGTGCCATCCTTTCTTTATTACTACTATCGAGCTGCTGGTAGGTGGCTATTCCAAAACTTCGGAGCTCGAATTAGAAACCTTAGAAACCTCAGCAGCAGCAGAACTAGAAGTAGAACTAGATCTCAACGCCTGAAGCAATTGCGGGCCTAATAAATCCACCTTTCCCGCCCCCATTGTGAATATCACAATCTCTCCTCTACCCCCCATTCCAGACACAGATGCCGGCGATGCTCCTGCTGCCGCTGATGATGATGATAATGACGATGATAACGATAACGATGATGACAAGGCACCCGAGGACGAAGAAGAAGGAACTGCAGAAGAAGCCGCATTGGTAGTAGTAGTAGAAGAAGAAGAAGGAGAAGAAGAAATCTCCCAGCAAAGTCGACTGATAAGCTTGTCGTGATCAGGGATGTAGGCGACAGCCGGGCCAACGATAACATCTGCAAGATCTTGCAGCGTGACTTGGGAGGTCACGCCTTCCTCGTCCTCCCGCGCGACTTCCATGCGTGTGATAATGACTCGATCTGCCGCGCTGAAGGCCGGCGCGAAATCGAGAAGCATCGTCGACAGCCGACTATACCCGTGTACTTCGAAGATAACCCAGATGGGTTGGCGATCAAATCTTTGGCGCGCAGCTTGAAGCGTGAGCCTCACCTCCGTGGGATGGTGTGCGTAATCGCTGTACACGACACAGCCTCTCGCCTTCCCGATGAACTCGAATCGTCGTCGGAGGCCACGGAACTCGCCGATGGCTTTGCTCGCACCTTTAGCTATGGTGGACATGACACGTATGCGCTCCATCTGCTCGCCAGCTGTCATCTCCTCAACTCCAGTCAAGCAAACTGCACAAATGACTGCAAGCGCATTGAGAACGTTGTGCGCGCCCGGCAAGCGTAAGCTAACTCTGGCCATGGGCAAGCCAGCATGAACGACGACAAAATCCGTACCCCCTAGGGTATTGGGGACGAGACCCACTGCGCGCCAATCGTTACCCTCATCAACGCCATAGCTAACAACCTTTCTCTCTTGCCTTACCTTCACAGCATCCAGCCAAGCAGCACGCTTCGACGCATTCTTGCTTGCCCTGATGCTGCTGCTGCTCCCGCTGCTGTTGCTGCTGCTGCTGCTGCTGCTAGTGCTTAGATTCACCCCGTCAATCCACTCCACACCCCTATCCTCCTTTGCCGCCTCCTCCTCTTCCTCCTCCTCCTCGAGGTACTTAGGCTCGTAAACATCCAATAACGAACGTCCTCCGGCGCAATCACCGCAGGTAATCAACGTGCCTCCGGGCCTCACATTTCTTGCAAATTGCCGGAATGCCCTCCGTACATCCTGGACAGTTGGATAGATGTCCACGTGTTCCCATTCCACGTTGGTGACAATTGCCATCTTCGGCGAAAGGCGAAGAAAGCACTTGGTGTATTCGTCGGCCTCTACGACAAATCGAGGGCTTTTGCCAATCAACACACTTTCATTATCGCTGTCAAATTGCGGCACATCAGCACCGACGATCGCCGACACGTCGTCCCCAAGGTGTCGCAACACATAAGCTAGCAACGATGACGTGGTACTCTTCCCATGAGAGCCTGCTACAGCTAATAGATCGTATCCCTCTGTGAGCCGTTGCAGCCATTGCCCCCTCGACAGGATAAGTGACCCCAGTGACTTCGCGGTCTCCACCTCCACATTGCCCGGTCTGATGGCACTCGACGCAACCACGATATCCGGGCCACTAATGTCTGCCATAGCCTCCATAGCCGCCACCGCTTCAACACAACCTCCCTGCTCTTCTTCTTCTTCTTCTTCAAGCTGCTTCTCTTCCGATTGATCAGTCTCGACTTCTTGCTCTGATCGACTGCTGCTGATGCTGCTTATTACCCTTGTCTTCCTCTTCACGTTCTCCGCTGCGTGGCCTTCGACGACCACCACCCCTTGCTCCCGCAATTTTGTCATCTTCTCATTCCATTCTCTGTCTGACCCGCTGACGTGGAATCCCGACCGAGATGCTAGAAACGCCATCGCTGAGAGTGCAACACCACCTATACCTACAAAATGTATCCATGGCAAAGAAGAAGAAGACGAAAAAGAAGAAGAAGAAGAAGAAGAAGAAGGAGAAGAAGAAGAAGGAGAAGAAGAAGAAGAAGAAGAAGTCTGCAACAACGAAGGTGTAGAACTGGGATGAGATGACGGAGGAAGAGCAGGTGATGAAGAAGAAGAGGAAGAAGAAGAAGACATGGAAGCAAGTGGCCAACGAACAAGAACGCGCCTGCGCTCAGTTCGGACACTGACAATACCTCCTCTTCTGTCGCGTTGCATTTGCAGGTTAGGCCGCGGAGAACGATGGTCAACGACGACCGCCATAGCTGCCGCTGCCGGTATGATGTCCTCTAGGATCTTCCTCTTTTTCTTTTTCCTCCTCGTCAATTCCAGACACCGTTCCAACCTTCTTTGCCATGGCAATCTGCAGACAGCTGCCACGTGGCACTCCCATACTCTCTCATGCGTGGTGCATCGGAAGACATTCTCCCTCCTCGACTGCACTGCACAAGGACGCTCAAATTGCATTGCACATCCCGATGACGATCTGAGAGGATAATTCGACGATTGCACCGATACGCTAGGCAGCGAACGTGACATTACGTCCGGAGTCCGGAGTCCACGTGGCATTACGTCCGGAGTCCACGTGGACACCGCCATAGCTACCGAAGGGGACACACTGACAACTGCAAAGATGATGGCGTCACTTCCCCTCCCACACCATGGCCTCCAGGCCCTTTCCCCCTGACGTCAACGAAATCCCGTTTCCCTCCTTCAGCAAACCATACATAGGTTGCAAGGATTTTATTTTTTTTTTTTCGATCTTTATTCGCTTCTAAAAACTCCGCGTCCGACGATACAGTCGATCGCCACGTGTCGGAATCCTATCCCTCTGTACCCGGCATGTATCCTTAGGGCATATAGACTCACAAGGGCGCTTTCCAAACTGCATCTGACTGCAATTACGGCCAGACCTGTACGAACAGAACCGCAATTACGTCCACAGCGTTGAGGAAAAAGTCCTAGTGTGAGTATGCCTTAACACACCTCAGGGTATAACTTCCACGTGTGACTATCTCGACTGCACCTGACGTCATTTACGTTCCATCAATACACATCGCCTTCCCATGCAAAGCCCGTTTTTCAGCAACACCTGCCTGCAACCCATGTCGTCACCTGTCGGGCCTCGCCGCACCACTCACCAAATGTGGAAAAGACAAAAGCTATGACGGGTGCACCTTCCCACGTTTCTAGTATAAATTCTCGATACTGCACGTTTCGTGTGCAGTGCGGCGAGGCGCGTTACTTAGGAGGATATAACAGCGGTGATCGTTGTCGCACAGGCCGCCACGTAGAGGGCCAACTCTCATAGAGCCACATTGTCGCCCCTCAGTCCCGTCCCGAAGTTTTAGGGCATGCTGTAATCATCGTAATACACTCACACCGGGACATTTTGGCACAGAATCTGGCCGTATTTCCCAGCACTCTACATCCAGGAAAGTCTGCCCTTCACCTCCTACGCCAGAGCGTCTGCTGCCGCCAAAGGTACACACGCACGCATGATCCGTGTCGCCCAAGATCACCGCCACGCCGCACTGCTCTTAGAGCATACTCACAGTAGGACTTTCCTGGATGAATCCGATCGAAACTGCCGTTCTCCTGCGTGCATCTGACCGCAATTACGTCACGAGAGGAGTCAACAAAAAGTCTTGGTGTGAGCATGCCCTCAGAACCCACGCACTCACGGACGCATCGTCGCTAGGTCGCTCAGAGTGGTGCTATCCGCGTGGCGGCATCAAAGCTCTTCTCCATCCTCTCGTGCCTCTGCATGGATCACAACGTGCATGGATCACAGCGTGCATACGTGCACGTGCGTGCGCGTGACGTACGTCCATGCATGCGTGATTGCCTGCCTGACTGACTGATTGACATATCGACAAGTGTAGCTGAGTTTAAATAGGAAAAAAAGAATATCATGGAGCGAAAAGCACGTGTCACATGTCGGCGTATCGGAGCAAACGTGGCATCGGTGAACTGAAAATGTGGTAACTGATCTGATCCGGCACAGTGGCAGAGATCGATGTGTCAGAAGCACGTGGATTACCTGCTACATGACACCCTGTTACACCCACTACCCGTCTTCCCCCGAACATAACGCACCCTAAAAATGAATGTATACAAGCCACATTTCCGGCCAGATACAGCCAAAATAAGGGTGCGTTGTGTTCGGGGGAAGACGGTCGCCCTCTACCAGGACATTGCATGTCACATCGCCGAACCAGACAACCGGGACTCGCGCGGTGTTGTTTACAGCCCTGAGGGCTGCGGTATGGTGCGGGCCGGCTCTGTGTCAAGGTGGCCGAATTTTGGGGGTGGACGACAAGCGCAAAATAGGGCATGTAGGGGTCCAAATTTCGGTATGTGAAGTCACACTCCTAGTGGCACTACCGGTAGGAGGGACCGCGTATGTGAAGTCACACTCCTAGTGGCACTACCGGTAGGAGGGACCGCCGTAGCACGGCACGGTCCAAATGGGTCCAAATGGTACCTGTGCCCAGGTCAGAATGGCGCTTGCAACAGGTGTGTTTCCCAGGCGATGCATGACAGGGCACGCGATCCACATGCACTCTCTCTCTCTCTCTCTCTCTCTCTCTCTCTCTCTCTCTCTCTCTCTCTCTCTCTCTCTCTCTCTCTCTCTCT